AATCAAAAAAATCACTATTTCTATATTATGATAATATAGAGAGCCAAGTGAACTCATCGTTTGATAAATATTTGGCCCGCAGATTCTGTCTACAACATCCAATATCTACTATTCAGTGTGCTCATGATGTCCTAGTTCTTTTATAATTTGACAAATTACCAAATTTTTTTGTTTGATACTTATAGTTATGATAATATGTGTAAATCAATTTCCAAGCGGAGTTCGAACTCAATTCTAATTGGTGTTGTGTTGTGTATGACATGTTGGCTGACAGACAAAAATGGTTTATTGGCCCTTGTCTTCAATATACAGTATGACATGTTAACTTTTTTTTTTTGGTTATCAAACGTATGAAATGTTAACTTAAAATTTAAATATTTTGAATATACAGTATGAATGTTAATTTTGAGAGGTCGGTGTCATTAAAAATTTTTAATAGAAGATAAATGATATAAAATCGGTGGATACTTGGGATAAGATATAACAATGATCTTCTAATTATTTATATAATTGTCAGTCATTAAAAGAAAAAAAAGTTTTCAATAAATATTCATTTAAATTCTCTTTGAATAATACCTATCATTTTTCACATAGTATATCATCAATTAATATACAGAGGATTTGTCTCTCTTCTTCTCCGATTCCTATGTTTCTCTTCCTCTCCGAAAATTAAATTTGGATCCAATAACAGAAGGATCCAAGAACAAAAACCCAAAAAAAATTACAATTAAAAAAGTAAAAATTCTATGTATGTCTCTCTTCCTCTGTGATTCTTCTTTCCTTGTTTCAGGGGAGATACGAATTCGTTTATCAACTATTTGTGTTCATCATCGATTTCTCAGATCTGTCAATTTTTGTTTGTTTTTATTTTTGCTCTTTGATTATCTTTTGACAAATGATAAAGAGTGAAGTTGCTGGAGGTAGCGGTTCATCGATCAATTCAAGGCAGAGATGTCGACGCGGATGATGGCGAGTTTGCATGGTTTCAAAATAACATGGTACAAAATCCGGCGATTACTACTCACTCAACCGCTTTTGTTTCTTTTGCCGGTGGACGTGGACATGATGTTCTTTACATTTGCTTGGTTTCTATCTACAAAAATTTTAAAGTGTCCACAAATGTGTTTGGATTGATATGAAGGATGGTCAGAGAGAGATTGTATTGTGACGTGGTCAGATTTATTTGGACATTGGCCTTCCTTCAATTGGGCATTAACCTAAACTCACCGGAGTAAGTTGTCCATGAAGTCGAGGTCAAGAACATGTCCATGATAGTCCATCCACCTGGTTAATGACAACATGTCGAAATCTTTGGTGGGTTTTAGAAGATTCGAGGTGTGCTTGGCAACAAACAACACGAAATCGAAGAGTTAGTCACTGTCTCCAAGATGGTTACTGTGGAGCTGTGATGTTGTCGTTCTGTTTGAGTTGGGTAAAATCACAAACTTAACATAAAAAATTAACCAAAAAAGAGATTTTAGAATGAATCAAAGATTAATAGAGAAAGAAAATAAAGAAACGACAGTCGAACATGGATTTGGAATTGTGAATCAAAGATTAAC